AGGGGCATCGCAGAGGAGAAAGCAGTTCATGGCAGGCAGAAGGTAGCAAAGCAGCAAGCGACCAGCAGTGACCCTCTTTCTGTCCCTGTATTCTTCCATCCAGGCTACCTACTGTTAGGGTGAATAGCACACACACTCAGGGTGGGTACCCTTAATGCTGCCCATAACTATGTCAAACCAATCAGTGGACCAATTTATTAATCACACACCTTTGATCCCAGCTTCACACACCCTAGATCCACCCACCTCTGAAAAGCACCACCTATGACCTCCTAAGGCTTTGAGGAGATTTCTAAACACAAGCCACAGTGAGGTTTTTCAGAATATCCTTAGATGGCCTAAGATAGCCATCTTCTGAGAGATTCACTCCTATCACCCTTTATTTTTTAATTTTTTACTCTGTAAATGGCTTCAGACAGAGGCATTTTATGTCAAGGAAAGCTCTCCTTCCATCTAACTTCCCTTGACAATCCATGTGCTCCAACTGTGCCCAACCGGCATCCACAACCTGTTTTTCTTTTTTTGGCTCTCCTCTTTTGAGTGAAAAGGATTGTTTAGGACTACATGTAAAATATATAATACACATTATATATAAATAACAAAACTTCCTTTTTTAAATTACAACAATACAGAAAAGAGGACAAAGAAGGAGGGGTGCAGATTGGTCACAGTATCTCATTGCTATTAGTTGTTGAATATTCAAGAAGGTTTAAAAATCACGTCATTTTTCTTGCACAAATCTAAGCTGTGCTGCCCTTTTGCTGCTGCATTATGGTCTGTTCATCCCTGGTTGATTTTCTGTTTCCCACTGTAATGCCTATACTAGGCCTTTCTTGCTGTTCTTATGCCCCTCCCCTTTTATTCTGTGATGATAACCTTATCTCAGCAATTCAAAGGATTAAAATCATCTACCAGGAGCTTACCACCTAAACCCCCTGAAAAGTGAGCCCCCATAAAACTCTTATCTTTTAATTTCCTCATCCCAGAGCCCAGAAATTCTCCCCCCACCACATGGTACCTTGCTTCAGTAATTATTCATCTCTTATATAGCTTATTTGATTTTTTCTTCTTTTATTTTTTGGTACTGGAATCAAACTCGGGACCTTGCACTTGTGAGACAGGCAGTGAAACCACTGAGTTAAATCCCTGACCCACTTCTTCTTTTGAATACTTTCCCTTGGCCTTTAAATGCTCTTGGGCCTTCCTGAGCGAGTTTTCTGTTACTGTAACAAATACTTGCTTTTGAGCCTGTGGCGAGGCAGCAGGCAATGGCAAGGGAGTAGGGGTAAATTGGTAACACTCATCTCAAGGCCAGGAACAAAGGAGAGGAGCGGACCAGGGTTTCACCTCTCCTTTGAGTGCATTGTTTCCCCTCCCTCTAGCAACCCAAAGATTTCTCACGAGGCCCCACCTCCTAGAGCCTCCACAGCCTTGCAGTTAAACCAGACTTGTAATGTGTGGGTCTTCGGGGACATTCACATACAAACTAGAATGTCATCTACACTGTCCTTCATTTCCTGACTGCCACTTGTCTTCCTGTGTTCCTTTGAAGGGTATAAAATCCAGTCTTATCCTTTGTTTCCATTTTTTGTAAAATCTAATGTACTCTGGATTACTGTGAAATCTGGTATTTTTCTAAGAATAATCCTATCCTTTCTGAAGCATTTAACTGTAGCTGCCACATTTTTTACCTCTTTTCTGCCCCAGCTCAGTCCAGTCTCATGGCTTCAACTCTCGTTTCTTCTGTGCCTGGCTTTCCGCTGTTTTATCTCCAACCTCTTCTCTCCTATGTACCTGTGTTCTGCATTCCTAACAGTTGGTAGCTTGCTTAAATGATTCATTGTTTGTAAAGGAATTGTGCTCTAAATTGAACTGATTATTTTTTTCCCCAAATGTGCTCACATTTTGTGGCTCCAATATGTTTTATGATTTTGATTAGAACCATGTTCAGGATTTATTAATAAAAATCATTGTGACTAATTCAACCACATTTTTTTCTTTTTCCTTGAATTTAAACATTTTTTTTCTCTTGTCCATTTCCTCTATTTTCTGGAAGATTTTATTAGCTTTATTTTCTTGTCCTCCTATTGAGGTTTTTTTGTATGTGTGTGAGCCAGGGTCTCACTAGTATGTAGTCCAGGCTGGCCTTTTATTGAGTTTTAAACTTCTGTTCTCATATTTTTAAGTATTCATTATTATAATCAGTTTCTTTTCTTTTAAATGTAATCCTGTTCTTGTTTCATGAACTTTTAAAATCTTTTACCAGTATCGATAGTTTTAAGTGTTTATCAGTATAGATAGTTTTTAAAAAAGCCTTCACATTGATGTATGCTTCCTGTTTTTCTGTTTGTTGCTTTTGTTACAGTTTAGAGATCTATCCTAGCTGTAGGATCTCTACTCTGCTTATATTTAAGATTGTGGTACCAAGGAGTGGATTGGGAATTGTGGTTCTTTGTAGAGATACCTGACTTTGATGTTTTGTTGGTGAGCTCCTGATGTTAGCGTCTTTATGTCTTCATGTCTTGTGTTAGTGTAGGTTGGTGTAGGTCCTAGAGCATTACACCTGTTTTTATTTTTTTTTCTCATCGAGTTTATTGGTACATTTTAGGTATACAGTACAGTTACATTCATTATTAGGATCTTATACCTTTACATGACAGGTCTTGGTTCTCATTTTTTCCCCTTGTCCCTGCCCCCCCTTTACCTCTTCCTCCCCTCATACACCTGTTTTTAGATGTTGACTTTGTGTGTATATGAAGGTCCCATAAGGTAGGCTAATCCTCAGGGGTTAGAGAAGGTGGCCTCATCCTGCAGTGTTCCTGAGGCTCACACCTTGGTTATAGCATTTTGTGTTTGTTTGTTTGTTTTGAGACAGGATCTTCCTATGTAGTTCAGGCTGGTTTTAAACTCACTATTTTCCCAGGCTGGTGTCAAACTCACCATGATCCTTCTACTTCAGAGCTTCCCGAGTGCTGGGATTATAGGTGTGTGCTACCACGCCTAGCCAATGTGTCATTCTTGTTGGGCTCTTTTCCTCTTAAGTGACATTTCCTGTGTTGGAGTCACTTATGTGTCCGTCTTTCTCTCTTGCTAGTCTGTAAACTCCTTGAGGGTGTTGTCTAAATCTGGTTCCTTTATATAACCACGAAGTGACTACCACAGTGTTTCATAAATGTGTTAACAATGTAAGCCCTAGCTGATTCTCTTCAAATCAGACCAAGACTTCTTCAGATTGAGAGAGAAATGTTTGGAAGTCCCTGTTTGTCAGGGACAGGTTTTGATTTCTGTGTTCCTGTGTGAGTATCACCAGCAGCAGGAGATGAGCACTGCTGCCCTCGGGAGACCGCCTGTGTTCGGTGTTGGCTTCCCCACAGCACTGTTAAGTCAGTGTCACCTGCTGATTACACCGACACAGTGACACACACCAAGTAGAGGTCCTGCAAAATGATGTTAGATAACAGTGTTTCAAGGTCAAAGTCTTCTGAAGCTTTTACCATCTGGGAGGATGAGAGCAGTGAAATTATTTTCTGCCCTGAACGGTTCTGTGATTTTCTGAGCTCTTTATAGAATATCATGTTGATAAGCACGTGGGTTTTTTTTTGGGGGGGTGGGGCTTTGGTGATAAATTGTTTCAGAATGTGAGTTTTATTTTAAAATTGTCATTTAATGTACACAAGGGCTTAGGGTGCAGGGGACCCTGGATACAGAGTGGTCAAAATGAAATCCTGGCCTTGATTTATGTGCTCCCTGGATGTGAGGGATTTCATCTCTGCATGGATAGGAGCCAAAGCCAAGCTCACGAGCTAGTATGGGTTACACAGGTGTAGTAAAATAGGATCATGTTATTTTCCTCTCTTTTGTAAATCCAGGCAGTTGCTTTGTTTTTCCTATTAATAGGGAAACAGTGTGATTGCTCATGTGTTCCGGGTGATGTGACTAAAGCTTCAGGCATTTGTTTTTTTCTCTTTAGTATAGGAAAGGCTGTTTTAGTTACTGCTGTCTCCTTTTATTCATGTTACCCACAGTTGTTGCGAAGGGGAAGGTTTTGGTTTTGGCCACATTTCTTAGTATATATAATATTTCTTTAAACTCAAGAAAGATCTAAAGATGTGTCTGGCCAGAAGAATCAGGTTTTTTGGGAGCTGTGCTTTGAAAACTGAGTCACAGCCTTACAAGCAGCCTCTCTCTGTCTCTCTCTCTTTCTCTCTTTCTCTCTCTTTCTCTCTTTCTTTCTGTCTCGCTGAGCTGCACCCCCAGCCCTGTGTTTTATTTTAATATTTGAGACAGGGCCTCTCTAAATTGTCCATGCTGGGCTCACACTTGGAGTTCTCCTGCCTCAGCCTCCCAGAGTGCTGGAAATACAGCTGTGAGCCACCGTGGCCAGCTGGGAAGCAGCTTGTTTTTTTCTTGGCCTCCCCTTGGTCTGACTCGTTGCTATTATCACCCTGTGAGGCTTGGTCACTGGCAGTGAAGATGTATCTTTGGAAGCGTTTGGTGTGTGTGCTGTTCAGCATACTCGCCAGTAAGGGCCACAGGAGCCAGTGAGTTTCACGCCCCTTATCTGGCCCCACCACGCACACACGGAGCCTGGCTTCCTTGGAGCGCATCTCTGGTCTCCGTTCTCTGTTTTGTGGGCTTCTGGCTCGGCACTTCCTGCTGTGCACAGCAGAGGGCAGCAGCGGCAAGCTGTGCTGTCATCCCCTCCTCCCACACGCGTCCTTCCTGTCAACACCTAATCTTTAGCCTCCTCCACACCATGCAAGGCTCTGTTAAATTTTTACTTAGTTTTATAATCTCCATTTGGGGCAGTGCTTCTTACTTTTAAGAAGGTGATGAATGCAACTGCATTACTTACATTTAAAAGCTTTATATGAAGTTATCTATAGGTAAAAATAATTTATTAGGTAAAGTGAATAAATTTGCATGACATTGAATTCAGGTGTAATTCTACAGGTGTGAGTTGAGAGTAAAACAATTTTTTTTTCTTTTTTAATTTTAAGCTTTGGGATGTGAGGTCAGCCAATGAGAGGAAAAGCATTAATGTGAAACAGTTCTTCCTAAATTCAGAGGACCCTCAAGAGGATGTGGAGGTGGTACTGAAGTGTTGCTCGTGGTCTGCTGATGGTGCTAGAATGATGGTGGCAGCAAGAAGTAAAATCTTTGTAAGTACTAGTATTTTAAAGACCAAATTTAGTCTAAATTAAAATTAAAACTTCTGTTAATTTTTGCATTGTACCCTGTTTCCTGATATAGATGAAGGCTTCCCTGCCTCTCCTTGCGTCTTGGGCCCTGGTGAGAGAAGGTCTCACGGGGTACGCAGTGTGCCAGACATGTGGAAGGCCCCGAGTGGCCCACATGGCAGGAGTCCTTCATCATATTGAGCCTGTGTTCCTCCAGTTGATTTAAGATGTGAAATACTTTGTGTATCACTCTTTTTTTAAACCAATTTTGAATACACTGATTTAGGTGATTTTCAAAGTACTTTTACCCCTAAGGTTTTATAATTTGATGACTTTGATAATGATAAATAACAACTGAATAAGATTGTAAAATTTTTATAAAGAAAATGAAAACGTATATAAAAAGTAAATAAAAAGAAAATACCTTTCTCTTTTCTCAATTCAAGTCCAGTTGCACCATGAGTAAGAGAACCAGGTCTTTTGATTTCTGTTCTAATAGTAATTTTCAGTGACTCAAATAATAGGTTGATTATTTATTTATTAATTTATTTTTGTGTGTGTCTTTTGAGATAGGGTCTCACTGAGTAGTTCAGGCTGGTCCCAGACTCACTATGTAGCCTGGGCTGGCTTTGAACTCACAATACCAGTGCTCTTTCGTTGGCCTCCCAAGTGCTGCGATTACATGTGTGAGCCACACCCAGCTGCAGATAATAGATTATTTTAAAGAGCAAAATTGAAATTTACAATATAGTTATATAAAAACTCACCGAGGGATCATTTGTATATGATTTTTACTGATCTAGTAACTGACCCTAGGACCTTGCCTGTTCATGTCTTTATAACTCTAGCAGGAAACCTAGAAAGTATTTCCTTTTGTCTTCAGTTTGTTAAAGTCTATAAGAACACAAAGGAATTGCTGCACCTTCAAGATTTAAAAAATTAACTTTTGTTGTAGTAAAATATATACATAATGTAAATTTGTCCTTTTAAAATGAATATTTCAGTGGTATTAATTATATTCATAATGTTGCACAATTATTACCACTTTATAGTTCAGAAACTTTTACATCACCCCAAACAGAATCCATAGCCATTAACTTGCAGCTCCTGTTTCCCTTTATTCTCAGCCTCTGGTAACCTAATATACCATGAATTTGCTTTTCCTGGTTATTTCATGTAAGTGGAATTATATAATACTGATCCATTTGTATCTGGCTTGTTTCATTGAGCTTACGTTTTTAAGGTTTGTCCATGTTGTAGTGTGCATTCCTTTTTATGGCTGAATAACGATTCCATTACACACAAACGTGCATATATACATACACATGTATGTATATATGTATTGTTTTATTTATCCATTAATCCATATGTGGACACTTGGCTTGTTTCCACTTTTAGGCTGTTGTGAATAATACTGCAACAAATGTTGGTATACAAATTCTGTTTGAGCCCTTGCTTCCAGAGCTTTTGTGTGTATAACCAGGCGTGGAATTGTTGGGTGTAGTAATTCTATATTTAGCTTTTTAGGAGCCACCAGACTTTTCCACAGCAGTCGCCCCATTTCCATCCCCACTGGCAGTGTAGAAGGGTTCTGTCTTCTCCACATCCATGCGTGGTAACACTTTTATTTCCATTTAGAAAATTTTAGTCAGGGCCAGGGTTTTAGCTCAGTGGTTCTGCCATCTGCCTCACAAGAGCAAGGACTGGAGTTCAATCCCCGGGACCCACCCCCCCACCAAGTCATAGCCATCTTGGTAGGGATGAAACTGTATATTTGTGGTTTGATTTACGTTCTGCTCATGAACAGTGATGTTGAGCAAAAGTTCATTTTTAAAAAAGATTTTAAATGATCTGTTCCAGTGAAGACAAAATGATTTCATAGTGCATAAAATGCATTCTTGTTTTAAAAACCTGTAGATGAGCTCTCTGTTTTACCATGCTGAAACCAAACTACCTTAAGGTAGATACTGAACTTTATGCAGCTCCTTGGTGTTTCCTTTCTTCCCCTTTCCCACTCTTGTAACGTTAGTCCACTGCTACTGTACGGTCTTTTCTTTTTCTCTATTCCACGATTGTGACATTTTCTCTTCCACTTTGGCCAAGTTTCTTCTATCACACTCAGTCACTAAGTTTGAAGAAGGACCTGCTCTGGGAAGCATTTAAACATTTAAATTTGATTTCCTGCCCTTTGCTTTTGGCCTCTGCTGGTGTGCTGTCTGCCATCTGTGCCTCTCCCAGGGCTGCACGTTCTGTGCATTCACTAACCCTCCTTGGGGCTCCCACTGGAAGGGCAGGAGGCTTGTGTTTTCTTCCTGAGAACTTCGCCCTCGCTTTTGATTTCTAGACCATATCAACAGTTTAAATGTGTGTATTAAATATAGTGTACTTTATCATTTGGCTAAAACTTTGGAACAACATAGTCAGCATTTAGAAATCTGTCAAAAATTGAAGTGAAAAAATTAGTTACTCAAAAATAGCTTTTTTGGTTCAAAAATGGGAAAATGACTAATCATAATGGAGCAATTTGTTAGCTCTGGAGAGAAATAGAAATGATTGAGCTAATTTCATTTTAGCAGCCTCTGCTTTATCTTATTTTGATCATCTTCATTTATGAGTGCGCATTTTCTCATTTGAATAAATAAGCATCAGGGAGAACTACTCTGTATGTTAATTTGGATAGTCCATTCATTTATTAACAAAGGTTTTATTTCTTTATCTAGGCCAGCTTGAGAGATCATCTGTGATGAATTTTTCTTTCTAGAAAATATGGTTCAAGATGTGCAGTATTTTAGAAGTATATGTATATTGACCTATGTCTTATTTATGACTTAATCATTACACTAGTTATCAGTAATTATTGTTTTTCAGGACTTACATTTTATACTTGAAATGGGAGGAGATTTAAAAAAATTTGGACTCAGTTTTGGTCTAGATTATCTTTTAAAATATTTTAACCTTCATAGATATCTCATTATTTATGTTGGCAGCTTTTTGACATTCACACCAGTGGCCTAGTGGCAGAGATTCACACCGGCCATCACAGTACCATCCAGTACTGTGACTTCTCCCCCCATAACCGCTTGGCAGTGGTGGCTTTGTCCCAGTACTGTGTGGAGGTAAGTATTTGTGTATATCCAGGGAGTCTGGGTTTCTTGAGATCTGAGGATCACAGAAGATGGGCTTGTGTCCACCATTAGCTGTGGAAGATGTTTGTTTAAGAAGCATTTTCTTCATAGCCTGATGACTCACACCTTTGAGATATTTACCTCTAGAGCTAGCGTTATTGTTTTACCAGTGATTGCAGATTTGATTTGACATTGTGACGGGGAATGACGGTATCATTCACCGAGCATTTATTGAATGCCTCATGTGCTGCAGTCTGAGGAAACTGTGAAGTGACCTTTGGTTTTCTAGGCTGAACTTTAAACAGAACAGGCACAGACTCTTTCCTTCTTACATGAAATGATGAGAGTTCCATTCATATTCTTAGATTACTGCGTAGGATCGGATGGAAGATACCATCCGTTCAGAGTTGGTTAAGGTGAAGATCATCATTGCTGAATCCTAATGAATGAAATGATTCTTATAAAGTACTTGTTTACATTTATAAATTTTATGTTCAGAATCTTTACCTGGAAGAATACTGCCCAATGAGTTGCTATATTAATTTATTTAATATGCAACAAGTTGTAGTTTTCGTTCAAAGATGGAATAGTTTTCCAAGATTTCATACTCATCATTCCTCGAGTTGGTCTTACCCAGGGATTTCGTGACCCCTTCAGATCTCAGTTCTAAAAGGAAGGGTGTGGGTCTTTTATCTGTAAAGTAGGGAAATTCACCTGGTCCATAGGCTATTGTTGAAGGAAGCATTGATTGCTGCAAGCGCTTCACAGGGTTCTGTGCTTCTGTCAGCAGTTTTTAGTGAGTTTGCCGACCTTGTTCCTTCCTGTGAAGGCATTAGGGGAGTGTGGCTGAGCTGTAGCCCTTTGGCATGGAGGTGACAGGAGGAGAATGGGGGTGAGCTCTGTAAGTGCCTCCTAATTCTTTTTTTGGTACCGGGGATTGAACTCGGGTCCTTGCGCTTAGAAGGCAGCCCACCGAACCGCTGAGCTAAATCCCCGGCCCTCCCTTTGGATTTCTTAAAGATTTTTGGAAGAATTGGAGGAGCAAACCCTTTCTCAGCCTCTCCTATCCTTCCTAGGACCCATGCCCTCTATCACCCTTAGGAAGCTCTCCAGGAAACAGTGCTTTCCTTTTTGAAGTGTTGAAATGTGACCCTGGTGCCCCTGAGTGACAAACAAGTGATGGGGGAGAGATGTGGAAGAACAAGGGGGTAAGGAGAGAGACAAGGCTTTCCAAGGGAGAGTCTCACCGGTGGGGTCGTTTCCATTTCTGGTCCTTAGCTGTATATGTTTCAGCTTGGGCTCTAGAGATAAGGCAGAGGAAATTTCATGCACTTCGTTTGTAACCATAGAACTCAATGAATGAAAACCACTGGGCATGTGATGAAGTATTTGTTTTGTCTATGCTAGGTCTAAAATCATAAAGTAGGTCTGATTCAGAGTGTAATGAGAGGAACTCAGGCACATATGGTGTTCATTAGGCTGGAAAATATTTGAGTAGTTTACAGCAGCACTCAGGACAGAATATAGCAAGGCTAGTGGTAGGGACAGTTTGTAGTAAGTTTGAATAATGAGAAATATGTACGTGGTACAATTAGTGCGTCCATTTATTGTGGGTGAAAATAAAGGTCAGAGAAAAAAAGAAAAAGGGCTGGGCATTTAGCTCAGAGTTTCTGCTGCCTGCCTCAAGCACAGGGTCCTGAGTTTAGTCCCCAGTACCAAAAAAAAGTAAAAAATAAAGGTTAGATGACAGACAGAATTAGTGGAAAATTGTATATGGAAGCTGCCATGTTCATCCTGTTATTGTTTTAGATTGGTTTTTAAAAAAAACAGATAAAGCATGAATCCAAAATCAAAGCTTTATAAAAAGTTACATTCAGAGAAGTCTCACTATTGTCCTTCTCCTTTCCCTTCCACTTTTCTTTACTATCCCATAGCTGTTTCTTTTTGTAAAAGCATTATATGCGTGTCTCCGTGTATTTACACATATACAGACTTCTATGTCCACCTATTTGTGTACACATCTCTTGTTTCCAACTCATATAAAGGGTGGTGTAGTACCTATACTCTGCTGCATTTTGGTTTTTTTTCTGTTACTCCTAGAAATTAGTCATCCCCAGAGTTTCTTCCTCATTGTAGTTTGTGTGGTATTCCATTATGTGACTAGTTTATGCATGGTCATTGGGTTGTTTATAGTTGTTTGCTATTAAAACATAATCATATAATGAATAATCATCTGCATAAGACATTTTGTATTCTTGATAGTGTATTTTTGGGCTGTATAGAAATAGTCATTTTTGCTATTTTCACTGTTCTTGGTGTATTCACAATGCTGATCAGTGTGGTTTCCTGTATTCTGTAGTTGTGGAACACAGACTCATGTGTAAAGGTTGCTGACTGCAGAGGACATTTAAGTTGGGTTCATGGTGTGATGTTTTCTCCTGATGGATCATCGTTTTTGACAGCTTCTGATGACCAAACAATCAGGGTGAGAAACTTTTAGGATTTTAATTTTAAACATTTATCAATGTTAAGTTAAATCTTCTAAAAACTAAAGAATTGATAAGGGAGTATGGGAGAAAGTAAAACAGGAAGCTGCTAGATCTATATTCATCCTGCAGAAGTGCTGTGATATACTGGAACAGCTTCATTTACTCAGATGTGTTACTTGAGAATTGCTAATGTGCTGGAGAGTCCAATAATTAGACTGTATTTTGGCTAATTTACATATACTTCTTTGATTCTTGAGAGTAATCTTTGGCTTGCTCTTCTATCCTGAATTCTCACATCTGTTTATTTGCCAATTCCGACAGATTTTTACCTTTCAGTCTTTCTTAGAATTTTTATCATCCCTTTTATTCGTGTTGCCCAGGGTCACATCCTCATTACCTGTTGCCTCTGCTACAGATCTTCTTTCTTTCTTTTCTCTGTGCTGCTTTCAAGACGTCCCCCTCAGTACAGTGCAGTCATACCTCTTTTGACGGGGTGCTGGGGATTGAACCCGACCCGGCCCTGTGCTTGCTAAGCTTGCGCTCTACCACTGACAGCATCCTTAGCCCTGGTCGTGTCACTTTTGCTCCACAACAGATCATGGCTTCACTTGTCTACCTAGGCAAGATAGTCTTCTCTGCACTCAGCTTCTCCGCAGTATGCTCTCATTTGCTCCACTCTTGTCTTTCAGTTTATTTCTTTTTTATTTTATTTTTTTTCTCATCGAGTTTATTGGTACTTTTTAGGTATACAGTACAGTTACATTCGTCATTGGGATCTTGTACCTTTGACAGGGCTTGGTTCTCATTTTTCTTTCAGTTTATTTCTTTTTTATTTTATTTTTTTTCTCATCGAGTTTATTGGTACTTTTTAGGTATACAGTACAGTTACATTCGTCATTGGGATCTTGTACCTTTGACAGGGCTTGGTTCTCATTTTTCTTTCAGTTTATTTCTAACACATTCTCTCAGACACCCTGGAGTTTTCTGCTTCTGTACTTTCGCTTAAGGGATTTCTTATGTTTAGAATACATTGTATCTATGCTCGTGGAAATCTTAACCATCCCACAGGTCCTCTCCAGACTTCCTCATTAGGGCGGGCTGTGTCGCTCTCCTTTAATGCCATACAATTCTCTGTCAGTTTCTAATGGTGCTTGTCACATTCTGACTTCATCTGTAGATTCGATTTACCCCATTGCCCTCCGTTGCTCCACTGCTTCCCTGATTTAGTCACACATTTTAGATTAGAACTCTGGTTGGCCCTTGTAGTATCTAATTCAGTGTTTTATACAGATTATAGCTACAACTTATTAATACTTACTTCATGTTAGGCATTGTGCAAAGTACTGGATATATATTAATTTACTAATGCTCACAACAGTCCTTTTTTTGCAGCTGAGTGAAAAGCACAGAAAGGTTAGCACTACTTAACGTGTCAGTCTCATTGAGCTTGAGCTAGAATATAAGTCAACCCACTGCTCCTTCAACAAACTCTTATAAAAAAAGAAAAGAAAGACGAAAAACCAGTATCACTAAAACAACTGTAACCATGGGTATAGTTGACTTACATTCTTACATTCATTCTGGTGTAGGCTTGGTATCTTGTGGGCTGGTATGAAACAGTTTGAGAACCATCAGGGAGTCCTTATTTCGATTAGCACTAGGTTAAGTAACCTACCCAAAGTCACAACTTTATGTAAAACTGATTTCAGTTAAGGCTTTTTGTCTTCAAAACTCCACACCCCTAATATTGACTGTTTCTTACTAAAGAATGTGTTAATAAATATTTTTGTTGGGTTATAGTCTAATTTTGACCGTTGGGAAATTTCTAAAGGGATTTTAACTGTGAAGCATAGTTTGTATCTTGCTTTAAGTTTAACATTTGTCTTTATGTTATCTCAGCAGTTGGACTGAGAGCATATGGTTTTATTTTAGTTTTTTTAAAATTTCTTCATCAGGTGTGGGAGACGAAGAAGGTGTGTAAAAATTCTGCTGTAGTGTTAAAGCAAGAAATAGATGTTGTGTTTCAAGAAAATGAAGTCATGGTCCTTGCTATTGACAATATAAGACGTCTACAAGTGAGTACTTTTTAGAAAATAACTGGAAAAATTGTTTTGTTGTTCTTGTGTATGGATTTGGGGATCAGGCATAATTGTAAAGTACCTTACTGGTAACCAGTAGGCATTAGTTGAAAAAAAATATATGGGTCTTACGCTGAGGCTTAGATTTGCCAGTATTTGGAATTAAATTAGGTGGTACCTCACCTTCCACGTTCCTCTCCTCTGATGTTTGTGGTCACATTCCTTGGTTTGCATGGAGTCTCAGGAATACCCGTAGGACTGACTTGTTCACAGGAGTGATTTAGAAGAGTCTGATGGGGTAAGCAAGGGGAATGAGCATAGTAATGGAAGCATTTTGCAGGGGAAGGATAAATAGAGCCTTTGAAAAAACAAAAATCACTGTAAGTGGGGAAGGAATCTAAGTTATTCCAGAGATGGAAAGAGCTGGACTTCATCTGCTATAGTACACCTGTCCATGCATTCATTTACCCGCATGTGTCCTCAGTAAATATGTAAGAGAGTACAGCTGTGTGGTATCACTGAGAGAAGTGTATTGTTTTGGGATCCAAGCAGGGTACTCTAAGCTCCTTTCCCTGCACCCCTAACAAAGAGTCTGGCACATAAGAGGAAGGCATTTCTTCATTGGCTGCAGAGGAGTCCCAGGGACTGTTACAGAGGAGTGGTATTTTGGAGCTCTGGGTAGTGACCTTATTAATTTCATAGGTAGTACGATGGCGAACCTTTCAGAGCTTTCAGTGATAACAAACAGCCTGCTGGGGCCCAAACACAGTTTTACTACCACTCTTCTAAGGGAAAGTTTCAGCACTGGTAATGTGCTACTATGCCGTCTTTGCATGTGATTTTTCTTGATTTGGCTGTGGAAATATAAGCAGCAAGAATATATGTGAGAACATGAGATAAAGTAGAGCTAAGAAGGAAACGGAATAGAGCAGGAAGGAGAACTAGTGCATACGCGGAGGAGAGCTGGAGACAGATGGGCAGAGGGTAGGACAGCTCAACAAGCTCAAAAGCTGCAGAGCTGAGGTTGGAGTTGTAGGGCAGGGACTTTTCACTCAGGAGACCTGGTTCAGGTGTGAACTTTAGCATGAGCTCATTCTGTGATGTCGAGTAAATTACATTCCAGTACTTTCCTGAACCTGACTTTGTTCATCTGTAAGGCCCTTTGCATCTTCAGCAGTCTGTGAGCTGGTTGTAGGGATAAGGTAGAATCTAAATTCAGGAGACATTCCTGGGAATAATTTGTTTTTGGTCTGGGTAACTCATCTTCACCTATTGTGGGAGTTAGAGTCAAGCTGTGAGACAGCTCTACACGTGGCCTGCTGTGTGTTATGTAAGTTCACCCTAATCCTTAGTGTGGATTAGATAGGGATTCAATATAGATATTGAATGTGAATTCCTTCTATGTGGATTTTAGTAGGCTGATTGTTCAGCTTGGGATATTTTCATTGTTTCTTGTCAAGTTCCGTGTCCCCATGCTTGTATTTCCTGTATTAAATTTGTGCAACTTTAATTAATAGTTATCAGGAGCAGAAGGATTTATGAAGCTAACTGACTATCAAAGTATAATTTTATTCTGTGTCAATGGCTGTGGGAGAGTTAAGATATTAATTCCATTTAAATGCATAAAACATTTTTAGTTACTAGTTAAAAGAGCTCTTGAAATTGATTTCTTGAGAAATGAAGATATTCAGCTTTTAGTAGTTCATTCTTCATTTAAAATATCTATTAGAACACACTGGGTAAAATATTGTAAAGGAAAAGCTACCTGTGATTGATTGGCCCTATAATCTTTGTACCCAAAATAAATTTGACTGCTTATTTCATGCTGAAAAATAATTCAGGATCTTTAGGTTATGACACTAAATTACAGAGAGATATCTGACAGCTGACTTAGGCTTGAAACATTCTTTCCAAGGTAACATGTTTTTGTGAGAACTAAGGTATCTTTTTTGTGGGATTGCTAAAAACGATAATTAGCATTGGTACACATTATAGAATTGAGTTAAGCATTGTAATTCCAGCCGCACAAATTGTGCTTATCGCTCCTCCAGTATCTCTGTGTGGGAGAGGATCTTAACTTACCTTATTTTGTGAGTGATTTGGAGAATATAACAATATATTTTCATTTAGATTTGTCTTTATACAGTGTCTATCTCAGTCCTTTTTCACCAGCCTCTTTGAAAAATACCAGAAAAGTGTATTTCAACAAATGTAACCTTGTTAAAAATGGGGTTTGTGAGGAAATGGAAAACAGGGTGTGGAGCTGGCTGTGAGATTATAAATCAGACAGATGTGTCCCCAGTGGTGGTCAGAGCAGCTGCTTTTAAACCTTTTAAAGCTTGTTTTACTTTATGAAAATGTATTTGAAGCACAAAAGTGAAATGAAATGAAAGCATAAAGTGCTAAATGCAGCTGCTGAGACAAGGATAGGGCTTTGTTGTTCCTGTGGGAGCTCTTGTTGGTTATCTTTTGTGTTTTATTTTAGTTTTTCAATTGAAGCCTCTATTCTAAAGAGCAAAAACTGCTCGTACAACCTGATAGCTAATTGTGCCTTATTTCTCATTAGCTCATTAATGGAAAAACAGGTCAGATTGATTACCTGACTGAAGCTCAAGGTAGCTGCTGTTGCTTAAGTCCACACCTTCAGTACATTGCATTTGGAGATGAAGATGGAGCCATCGAGGTATTCAGTTCTAGTCTTCAGAGCTGTGCAATAGGGTTAATTTGAAATTAATTAAATACTTGCCATTGTACACTTGCATACTCATACATTTTTCTGTGCTTTATTAGTCATTGTTCAAAAACCATCTTTTCCAGTTGGTTGTATTTTTTCAGATTGCCTTCGCTACTGTTTCTCTGGCTTTTTGTGTTCCTTATTCTGTACTAAAGTTGGTTTGCTATTCTACACATATATCCAACGTGGTCTGTCAGAGATTTACACAACTATACTAAAAACATTTTTCCCTCTTCTCCTCAGAAGCTCAGCTGTGTGGGGTGTAAGTCCTTTCCATTTTGTGATGATAAGGCTCATTGGAAATATCAGGGCACAGCCACCTTTGCTTGCTACCAACCCTTGTTTTTCTGTGTTTGGTGTTAGACGTCTACTCATTCACCACCTGAAATATTTAACTTCTCTCATGAAACCAAATTAGTAAAAATAGAGTCAAGCGGTAAGACAAAAAAAGGTAATATAGTAAAAGTCATTTGAGATGAAAAGATTGTCCCGTCCCCCCCCCCTACCTAGGATCAAACTCAGGACCTTGCGCTTGTGAGGCAGGTGTGGCGCCACTGAGCTAAATCCCTGGCCTGAAAATACTGTCTTTATTATAAGTAAAATTTGCCACAAAACACATTTTCTCTAGCTGTATAATAATTTTTTAAAGAATACCAGCTTCTTCTGTTTTTGTCACCCATGGCTTTGGAAATTATTTCTTAATTGTTAATTCTGACACTACTGATGTTTATTTTACCTTGGATTTGTTTTCCTAAGGAGCTCTGTAGTCCATATTGCCCTACAAAGTGGAGACTGTGTGCTTATACACAAAATGAAGATGGACATGACATCAGTGCTATGATGTATTTCTCACAGCCGCTGTGGCATGGATTCAGGATTAAGGCTGTATTTTTGTTCATTATTCTGAAAACTATTAATTGTTATGATGGGTACTGTTCTGAGAAAGTGTGTAATGGTTGTTTGCTGAGTCTCATCTTTCAAATTGTTGTGCATTACATATTCTTCTTTTTGGTACTGGGAATCGAACTCAGGACCTTGTGCTTGTGAGGCAGGTGGTGGCTTCACTGACCCAAATCCCTGTCTGTGCAGTACATATTCTGAAGGTTCCTTTATTTCCTTTTCCTTTTTATCTTGTTGCCAAGCCGGCACCACATTTTTTTTTAACCATCAAATTATCTTGAGATGAGATTTCCTGTATATTTTATAGTTTAAAAATAAAGTATAAAACACGTATGCTTTACCCACATTCTTAATCTTCTTAAAGTCCTCAAGTAATATAAATAGGAAATGAATCGTGTGTATTGCCAGTACCTGCCTATTTTTTAATCTATTTGAAACCCATAAAATGGCAGTTTCATATGATTCAGACTAGTATCATCAAATAATAGCAATTACTATTTTTTAGTCATTCACTCTGCCAGATGTTCTCGTCGAATTCTTGTAACACCCTGGATGTTAGATTTTACTGTTCTTGTTTGTAGATGTCTGAACTCCTAATTTCCATGGTGCTCATAGGTCGGGGAGATAGCATTCAAACCCAGTCTCTGATGCTCCGCCACTTTGCCTTCCCGTAGGGTCTGTGAGATTGCCTCTTCTGCTCACTTAGGAAGGCTTCATTCCCCTCTGCTTTGTGAAGGGCCTCTTTTCAGTCGTGTCATTGGGTTTACATTTTGGGGCTCTCCTGTTACAGCATCATCATAGGCTTCTGGAGTACATTTTAGTTTGAGCAGAGAAACCATATTTACTTTTGGGAGAGTGTGAGTTCATGAGGGATCTTTATATCATTAGTTTTTCTGTTTTTGTTACTACTTTCTTAATTTCTGCCTGTGACATATTAGTCTCCAGACTCCCAAAGTCTTGTCATCACTTTTCTTTTCTCCACCTGTCTCCCTTGTCATCCGTTATCTTTCCTTGTCTCTCTGGAATTTGTGAAGCGCTTGTCTTACTTCATCCAGGATTTTTCCTTTCTTCTTTCTCATACATTTTAAATGTCATTTTCCTCTTTAAGATGGAGCCCAGGCTGCCATTTGTTTGATGAATTGTGTAGTCAAGCAATCAGGGTTACTGGTCCCTCCTGCCATCTGGTCATTTCTGTGAGTGCTTGATTTGTGTGTGTGTGTGTGTGTGTGTGTGCGTGTGCCATTCATTTTGTGGACTTTTCTTGTTATTTTTGTTTCGATATAGGGTCTCGCTGTGTAGTTCAGGCTAGCCTTGAACTTAATATGTAACCCAGGCTAGCCTTGGCATATGTTTTTTTTTTTTTTTTTTTTAATACTAGGGATCAAATTTGGGACCTTGCACTTGCAAGGCAGGTGGCGGAACCACAGAGCTAAATCCCAGCCCAATGGGGCTGGCCTTGAACTCACAGTGATCCTCCTGCCTCAGCCTCCAGAGTGCTGGAATTATAGGTGTGCAGCACTACCTGGCTCATTTGTGTGTCTTTAAATGGAAAGCACTGCAAAACGGAAATTTAAAATCTTTCTGAAATCTAAGTTCAGTTTAATATCTTTGTGGCATAGTGCCTAGGTTTGCTTAATTTCCTTAAATTAATTTCTTGTAATTTTTCTACTTTGAAGATTTTAGAACTTCTCAACAACAAAGTCTTCCAATCCAGGATTGGGCACAAGAAGGCAGTACGGCACATCCAGTTCACAGCTGATGAGAAGACTCTTATTTCAAGTTCTGATGATTCTGCAATTCAGGTGAGAGAGCAGATGAACTTAGGGAAAATAAGAGGAGCTCTTGTCCAGCAAAAGCACGGCACTGCACCTGAGATCTGGTGTGCATTTTAAACATACTGTTTTGGTTGTATATCAAATTATGCTCAGGGCTGGGGATTTAGCTCAGGGGCACCGCACCTGCCTTGCAAGCGCAAGGTTTTGAGTTCGATCCCGGGCACCAAAAAAAGAAAAAGCAAAAGAAATGTACAGTATGTCAAGTTATGCTCATGAGCTTAGATGAAAATCTTTTGTGTTTCATATATTTCTATGGGATTGGCAGGCAATTTGACTTATAACTCTCTGTGGATTTGTTTTGAAAATCAGGTATTTGTTTGAATTCTCTGGCCTGTCTTGGTATAATATTTGGTTTTGTATCAATAAATATACTTTTTGCCACATTTATGTGCTATTTTTTATATTAGTAAAATCCAATTAAAATAATTTTGTTCTTTTAAGAGTAACATTTATTACAGGGATGGAATTATCTGAAAGCAAGAATGGTTTGCCTTAATGAAGGAATATGGATATGGAGGCCTTAAGCTCACTATGTATTCCTTTTAAATTCCTCTGATTTTATTGAAGTTCTGCTGCACATACTTTTAAAACTCAAATAGAATTACAAGGCTTGTTATGAAAAATAGACCTCTGCCTCATTTGTCGTTCTTTGGAAACACCACACATTCTGCTGTGTGCCTCCATGTCATGTTTATAGTGTTATTCTTGATTTTCCCACTTATTTACTGAATTTCCGCTAGTGAGATGAGGATTTAGCTTTCTTCCTGCTCCCACCTGTCACACCTACAACATGTTTGCACGCACATGTGCATATATATATAGCATCATATAGCACTGTCTACCCCACCACCCTGATACATTTATGACAAAATTTTGTTTTGATTCTTTAACATCACTTACTCAATTTTGACGATTATGTCAGTTTTGTATACTAAGATACTATGGATGCGTTTCCTGCTTTATGCAGTTAGAAAAAATTCAACCGTTGGCTAGATGTAGTTGGAAATTACTTTACCCTAAGAATTAAGATGTGTTATGTACACGTACCAACTCCTCATAATGTACATAATTAGATACTGCAAATATATACTAATCACAAAAAAATTTAAAGAAAATTATTTTACCTTAAAACTTTGAAGATACTGCTTCATTTTCCTCCACATTGCAAAGTCTGACTCTGTTCTCCTTTTTTGTGAGACAGGGTCTCACTCTATAGGTCAGGCTGGTCTTGAACTCACCATGTAGCCCATATTAGCTTTAAACTTGATTGTCGTCCTGTGTCAACCTCCCAAGTGCTAGAATTACAGGTGTGTGCCACCATGCCTGGGTCCATTCTGCTTTCTCATCTTTTTCTCTGGCAACTTTTGGAAACTTAGTATTTTCAGTTTGGGGACGTTTAATTATTTCTTTGAGTTATTTTTGGTTCAGTCTGTTTTCTCTTTCAGTAGCACCTCTTATTCAGATGCCCATTCTTAGACTGATTAGCTTTTTTTTCTACATTTCAGCTTTTATGTTGTATTCTGTTTATTGGGAGTTTTCTCAGTTTAACCCTCCAACCATTTTATTGAGTTTTTCATTTATACCCTTATATTTTTAATGCCCATGAACTCATTCCTATTGTTTATTCCTTTTGAAGAGCGTTATATTTTTGCTTTGTCGATAGAATGTCTTTTTTTATCTCTCTTAGGAGACACTACACAGACATACAAAATGTGTAGAAATATAAATATGTTTAATTTGCGCACAAATACAGACATTGGTTATGCACTATCTATAATTGTGGAATTTATACCCACGTGCCCACATTGTTTCCTGTTTAGTTGTCTTGGCCTCTTGTTTCAAAGCCCTCCCCAGTCATGGTGAGCTCATTGGCTGCCCGACGTGCATGTGAGAAGGGTGACTAGAAACTGTGCATTGACTGAGATATTCTGAAAGATTTGTCCTCAGACTCTTTGGGAATCTTCTGGTCTCCTGGATTAGCTGGGTAGGGGTGGCAAGAGAACTAGATTTCAACATTCACCTGTTCCCTGTTCTCAAAATTCCAGATATGCTGAGCCCTATAATCTAAGATTTTAGTTTCATTTTATTGTCTGTGGGAACATTATTCTGCAATTAATTCCTTTTCTTTTTCATAGTAACTTTGAGATTCGGCAGTGATTTTTTTTAAACAGTTTTGAAAATCAAGCATTTCCTTGAACTCTTTGGAGGATTGGGAAGCCCAGCATTTGTAGCTACACAGCTCTTAAGCAACTTCTCTTGTTTTCATGAAGTATAAAAATATGTCCTTGGTCTTAGGCGATCTCTTTGTGCTCTCCTTTTCCCTCCTTTTTATCGGACCTTGTCTGTCTTTCGTTGTTATCAGCCTCACCCCGCTCATGTGGATCCTGGGCCAGTGGCTCCTCCTCAGTGGAGGGTCATCCTTGTGAATTCTGAGTCGCCGTGGGAGTGGGCTGCTGTCACCCATCCAGGCCTACACTGGCCCTGTGCATTCTGCTGCTTCTCTAGTGGGTGCAGTGCATTTCCCAGTCACTGTCTTCCAGGTAGATGCTGTTACCGTGATGGTCACACAGCTCTCGGTTTGTCCCCATCCATGTGTATTTGGGATCTGTGGGGAGACTTACCGAGCAGGCTCTTGTTAATGACTTTGCACAGATGTTGCCTGTACATTTTTTATTGTTCTAGTTGCTTTCTCTACTTTTAATGGAGGGCTTCAGGGAGACCTGAAAACTCCACATGATCCTTTGATATCTCCTCAGAATCCTCACGCTTCTGTTCTTAGCCCACCCTTACCCCCACCTTTGGATATACTTAATGCCGCTGCTTTCTGAACATTTGCGGAGTTCATAGTGTCAGTTTTGTTGCTTCTGGTTTTCTGATGCTTTTAGGATTTATTTTCTTGGGTCTGCAGTCAGTCGCCATTCTGCTTTCCAGCCTTCAATATATTGTTATCTCCTCTCCCATTCTCTTGACCTTGTCATGTGAGGAGGGTTTTAGGAATGAAGGACATAAGTGCATATGTTCAGTGGCAGTTACTATATTTTATTTTGTGTATAAGTTTCTTACGGTGGCTATATTTAACTGTACTACTCAAAACTGTTTTGGAAAAAAAATGATTCTTTTATGTTACAGCTTTGTGTGTTCTGTGAAGGTGTAGGATTGGAGTGAAATTTGCCTTCAGTACAGAGACGTTTTTATTGTAGACTCCCGTGATGCTCCTTTATTAGCTGTGAGTCTCGGTGTAATCATCACATTTCTCCTTTTCCAGATGTCTGAAATGGGTAAAACTCAACTGGATCTGATGAGATTCTCTTGAGACATTGTGTGCTATACAGTCTTTCTTATCAGAAGTTAAATTCTTAAGGTTTTATGACCTGCCCGAAGATTTCAGATATTCTCAGCCAGAGGGAGAAATAATTTCTAGAAATATTTTTAGAAAAGGAGTTAGATTATATTTAGAAATACAAGTTGTGTTTCATCTTTTTCTGTTCTGTTCAGAATACTTTTAACATTTCCAATGTTTTAATGAATATACATTCATGTAACAAATCTCTGGGTAGGTAGTTCCAAGAAATGGCTGGTTCCTTGTTTAGTTTTTTTAACGATTTCGTAAATGACCAAATAATGGAGGTTTGTTTTAATCCTTCTGTACCCCCATGGATTGTAATAGGGGTTGAGTAAATCTCTGTCAAGCTGAAGTTATTGCCAGAATTTGGAGAATAATCTCACCCGGTGAATTGGACTCAATTCCTATGTGCTATAATTGAAGCCTTATACTTGCAGTATAAGAACATATTGGTTCTTGCAAGGAGAAGAAATTTCACTAGCTGGGGTGGTGATGTATGCCTGTTATCCCAGCTACTTGGGAGGCTGAGGCAGAATTATTCCAAGTTTAAGACCAACCTGGACAACTTAGCAAGAACCTGACTCAAAAAATAGAAGCTCAGTGGTAGAGTGCTCCTCAGTTCTGTTTACTACTATTGCAAAAATAAAAAGTTTTATATATATACTTAGAAAATTTATAGCTAATGGCAGACATCTGCAAAACTCAACTCTAGTGCATTCGACTAATGTTCGTGAGAGTTCAGCAGTTATATCAAGGTGATTCACTTACCACAGTGTGCATGAGTTCAGCCTAAAAGCATCAGTGTCATCACTGCCATGTCAGAAAGCTGTTGCAACAAAAGCAAAGGCTGTTCTGAATCTGCCCTCAGTAGTCAGATTCTGTTACAGCCCTGCAGGAAGGCGCTCTGGCTGCTTGAGGCAGAGGTGGAGGTGGCAGGAAGGGCCTCAGTCGTGAATGGACACAGAGTCAGGCTCGGCTGGGACTGTCAGTGTCCTTCTCCCAGGAAGTGCCACTGGAGTGGCTGCTGATCCTTTAGGAAGGGGGGTGGGTGGGCGTGGAACCCTTGGTGGAAATGGCCCTGGTGTTTTGTGCTTAGTCACTAGTGGCCCTTCCTCTATCATGTGATTTGAGGAGCCAGGGAAGTCTGTTGCCCATTTTCTCCTACAATATCTCTCTGGGCTCTTAAAATACTGGTTTCTATTCATTCTTGTTAAAAATTGCTCTTATTTTCAGTTCCTCTTCTAGAGTCCCCTCATTTATACACACAATTCCCTGCCTCTTCTTATCCTGCTTTTGAGAACAGGTACCCTGGGCTGGAGGCTAGGCAGAGATCTGAAAGCCAGGGCGTAGGGGAGGGCAGCTGCTGAATGTGGTGGAGGAAGGAATAAGGAAGGGGAAAGAGGAGATTGCTTTTTTCTTTGCAGTTTTGCTTAAGCCTGATGGGAAAAGGCTTCAAGACACTTCTACTATTTAACTTTCGCCATTCAAAAACTAGACCTGACAGTTACTGATGTGCATAATCTGTGCTGGTGCCTGATTTTTCTTCTTTTGGAGTCTACCTGATTGGCCACTCTTTCCCTGGGCCCTCTGGGCTTTTTCTTTGGCACCTTCCCAGTCTTCTTCCTCCACTGTTTCTTCTGCATGTTCTGGGCTGTAGCCATGTCGATCCATTGGGGTCCCTATAATTGTTTCACACAGATCTTCTTCTGTACTTAGATGCTTCATTCTTAGCCTTCGTTCTTTGTGTTTGAAGGCCTCTCTCAAGCTGGACATGGTGGACTTTCCCATAATCCTTTCCCTCTGTGAGACTGAGGCAGGAGGATTGCAAATTTGAGCCCAGATGTGTCATACAAAAGGGCTGGGGATGTAGTTCTTCTCAGTTTGTGAATCATATTCCAGTCTGTTCCTCTAGCCCACCTTTACTACTCTGGTTCCCACCAAATCTTCTCTAAGGAATTGCTCTAGTTCCACAGAATTTAACATCTTCATCATTAATAGCTTCTGTGTAGGATTTTTTGGGGTATGTTTCATTTTGTTTTTTAGACTTAGTTTTCCTTATGGTAGATCCTTGCTTGATTCATATTTGCCTCACATATAAAGTGCTAAACAAACATTTGCCATATAAATTAATTGTAAGTCAAGAATTAACAAGGTTTCTGGGTGTGGTGGTACACACCTGTAATTCCAGCACTCAGGAGGCCGAGGCAGGAGAATTGCTGTGAGTTTGAGTCCAGTCTGGGCTACATAGTTCCAGGTCAGTCTCAACTACATAGTGAGACCCTGTTTCAAAAAAAACAAAAAACAAAAACAGGGCCTGGGATTTAGCTCAGTGGTGCCACCGACTGCCTCATAAGCGCAAGGACCCGAGTTCAATCCCCAGTACCAAAAAAAAAAAAAAAAAAAAAATTAACAAGGCTGTTGTTTTGATTTAGCAAGAAAGGATGTTCCACATATGATTGTTCACTGCTGTGCCTATTTTGTGCTGGTTACTGTCATTTTTTTTCCCCATTGAGTTTATTGGTACATTTAAAGCAAACAATACAGTTACACTTATCATTGGGATCTTGTACCTTTACATGATATGTCTTGGTTCTTGTTTTTTCCCCTGTCCCCTTGCCCTCCCTTCACCCCTTCACTTTTCCCTATTTACAAAGACTTTGTTTCCATTTTTTCCTTTTTTCACATTTTTTCTTTTCCCTTATTTCCTTTCCCCTCCCCTTCCCACATTACTCTTTAGCCATTTTCTTCCTGTTTCACACTCCCAGTTATACCATTTGAACCTTATTCACATTTTTAGTTTTTCACACCAGAGAAACTATTTGGTATTTACTCATGCGTGTCCTGTTTACTTCACTTAAGAGTCTAGCCTCAATTTGCATCCATTTAGCTATAGATGTTTGTAGTTTCTCATTCTTTATGGCTCAGCACAACTCCATTTTATAGAAAAACCACATCTTTATCCAGTCTCCAGTTGATGGGCACTTCAGTTGTTTCCAAGTTTTAGTTATTATGAACTGTGCTGCTATAAACATGGGTGTACATATATCACTGTGATATGATTCTTTTAATTCTTTTGGAAAGATACCCAGTGGATTGGGTCAAATGGAACCTCTAATTCTAGTTCTTTGTGGTATCTCTATACTGATTTCCACAGTGGTTGCACCACTCTCACCAACAGTGGAGGAGGGTTCCTTTCTCCCCACAGCCACGCCTGTGCTGGTTACTGTCATGATTTCAATTCCTTTTTTTCTCCCTTTGTGCCTGAAGACTTATACTGAAGCCCCATATGAACAATAATGTCCTATTTCTCCTTCTCTCATTTGGAGGCTTGCCTCAGAGCAGTGATGGCGAACCTTTTAAAGCATTCAGTGAAAACAGACAGGAACAGCCAGCTCTGCGTGCCATAGGTTCGCCACCACTGCCTTAGGGATAGCTAAGACCTCTGAAGGTTGGAAATCCATGACCTGATTTAAAGCCTCTTTGGTCAGCCGAGCTTCCAGGGAAAAAGTGCCAACTTTAGTGGCACCAGCGTCCACAGTCTCGCCCAGAAACTGGGATAAGTTTCTCTGGAAAATGTAATCAGATGGTGAGCTAACTGACACATTGTGGCTTTTTCTATCTTCTGGTATAATCAACTGTTCTTCACTTGATCTTAGCCAAAAGGCCGAGAAACAATTATAATTAACTGTTCTTTAAGCAACTGATGAAAACAAATTTTATTGAGGAGGAAAGTATTTTATTTTGTCCCTAGTCAAATTAATTAACCCCAGCTTTTCTCATAAAATACGGGTACTTTATTCCTTGTTACTATTTTCTGTTTGAATTGCTGTAAGGACAGAAGACTGCAGGTGGAGTGCACCCTTCCCTCCCTGATCAGGGATGCTATTAGAGGTTGGTCACAGACTTCTTTCTTTCACATTCAGGTGTGGAATTGGCAGTCAGAGGAGTATGTCCTTCTCCAGGGCCATCAGGAAACAGTGACAGACTTTAGGCACCTAGAAAGTTCAAGATTGCTTTCTTGGTCATTTGATGGAACAGTGAAGGTAATTTAAATCTCAGGCTGCTTCTTCTTTTTTTTTTTTTTTTTTTTTAAGTGTTCTGATGCTTCAGTGATAGTATGGCTCACAAAAGCACTTGTGTGTAAAATAATTAAAATTCGAAATTTTATTATGTTTGCTTCTGTTCACTGTGGTTGCATCTTTCTGCTGTATGTTTGCCAGCATTTTTATTAAAAGATACGTAGAGGTCAGAACAGCCAGTGTACTGAATGCTTTTTTCTTTGGTGGGGGGTACTGGGGATTGAACTCAAGCCCTTGCGCTTGCAGGGCAGGTGGTGGAACCACTGAGCTAAATCCCTGGCTCCTGAACTCTTGTTTCATAGATTTGTCTTGTGGCTAATCATGTTTCTTAATACAAAATGTTTCTGTGTCAATTTTTTTTTAAAAGGTATGGAATATTATAACTGGAAGAATAGAAAAAGACTTTGTCTGTCACCAGGGTACAGTGCTTTCTTGTGATATTTCTCCTGATGCTACCAAGTTTTCGTCTACCTCTGCTGATAAGACTGCAAAGGTAGGGCAATAGGTTTGAGTGTTCATGCATAAAACTTTAGCACTAATTACATATTATGAGTCCAAATAGTACCGAAAACAGCAGGGTGTAGGAATTGCTGTGTACCTATCTCAAGCTTTAGAACCACATAGTAGCTGATCTTTAAAAGCTCTTGCCGGGTGTGGTGGCACATGCTTGTCATCCCAGTACTTGAGAGGCTGAGGCAGAGGGATCGCTGTGAGTTCGAGACCAGCCTGGGCTACATAGTGAGGTCCAGGTCAGTCTCAACTACATAGACCCTGTCTCAAAAAAACAAACAAACAAAAAAGCTCTTGCCATGTGTAGGCCCTGTGCTACAAATGCACTCCCTATGCTCATTTCATCTTCACACCGTAGGTGCCACTGTCCCCATTTCACAATTGCAGAAATCCAAGTCAGAGAACCTTATGTAAACTTGTTTTCCTAGGTCACAAGGAACTGGTGAAGAGTGGAGCCAGGACTCACACTCACATCTGCCTCACTGTGCAGATTGTTACCTGATGAGTATAAGCTGTGACCTTGACCTTTGAGTTGGGGTTACCTCGAGTAATTAAAGGGAAACTCAGACAAATGAACAGGGATGCACACTGGAGCTTGGGCAGCTTGGGCAGTGCCAGGGGTCAGGACTTTCCTGAGATTGTGGCTAGCAGCACTCCAGGCAGGGTTTGCAGGTGCTTATCTGGAGTGTGGTCACCAATACTAAACAGTCTTCTTTGCCTTCCAGATTTGGAGTTTTGAGCTCCCTTCCCCTCTTCATGAATTGAAGGGCCACAATGGCTGCGTGCGCTGCTCTGCCTTCTCGGAGGACAGTTCGCTGCTGGCGACCGGAGATGACAACGGAGAAGTCAGGGTAGGGCGTCACTGACCTGGGCTTTGTTCGTGGGACAGGGAAGCAGAGGCCCTGGCAGTCTGGGTGGGTGTGGCTGTCAGTTTTCTGGTGCGTGTTGTATCACAGCAGGGAGGGATTCATTTTAGAGTTAGACCGAGCATTTCCTGTATAGCTGAGCGCACAGATGCCCTACTTATTTGCAGTTGTTTTTCTGCTGTTTGAGAATGATTCATCCTCATTTTTGGACTCAAATCAAAAGTTGTTTTTAATGGCAGAATTTAAAGAAAGTAATTTTGTAAATCATTGTCTGAGTTATAAATGAATTGCAAATTCTGCTGTTTTCATTGCTTACAGAAGGGCTCCTTAGCACTCTCACCGTTAGTCCACACTGGCAGTGTCTGTCGTAGTGCTCTCTGAACTGTCTGCCTTGTTAAGGAAGCATCTCCACGGCTGGGTGGGATCAAAGGCCCTTCACAGTGCTGAACATAAACATATGAACGGTGCCAGTTTTATTTAGCAAATGATCTTTTTTTCTTTTACATTTTGAATTATTTATTATGTTACATTTCAAAGCGGTATAAAGGTAAACATAATAATAAAATGAGTCCTCCTGTTCCACCAACCAGCTGTTAATAATTCATGGCCAAACTTGTTTTATCCTGATCCCCCCACTTCTACATCTCCTATTTTAAAAATCATGTACCAAACATAATTTCATGTGTCAAAATTAGCAGATGATCTTTCTGGAAGGCATGGAATGCTGTTCTCTGTCTGCCTGTGGGAATATGCATCATGGGAAGCATTGCACTCTGAAAGTTCAGAAATCATAGAAAAGCGATCATTTGGCTTGATGGTGTTAGAACAGTCACACAGATACAGGAAAAATTTGGGCTTTGAAATGTCTTCTTTGGTAACTAGTTTCAATGAGGAAGGTTCCCCCTCTTTTTGCTTTGTTTTGTTTCTTTAACAGGGAAGATTTAAAGCTGAAAGAGCAGGTGTAGAACACAGAAGAATAGGAGAGTATGGATTTTGTGGGAGTGGGCTGTCCAGAAAAAGTAAGCTTCTCCTGCTTGAGGATCGAGGGACTGACGTTCACTCTCCCCTTCACACAAATGCCATGTTAGCCAAAGCAGCAGAGCCATTGTGAGGACACTCGTTTTGCTCCAGGCTCTCATCTTGGGATGAAAGGTCTCCTTTACCATTTATGAGACAGTGTGTCATTTTTCAGAAACCCTCATAGGAAAAAGATCTCTCTCAAAGTTTTTCTTTGATGCATTTTTTAAAAGAAAATGTTTTTTTGCCTGATTATTTAGATTGTCAGGAAGCTGTTGTGCTTTGTATATATATGTTATATCTAGCTGCCTTACTGAGTTTCGGAGTTTTCTCACTTGTTCCTCTTGGATTTCTAGGGAGACATTTGCAAATGATGCATTTAATTATTTTCTTTTGCTATATATGCCTCTGTTTCTTTTTCTTATTCTCTTGTGCATTTCACTGCGTATATATTAAGTGCCACTGGAATAAATGAACATATTAGCACCTATAAGTGATTGGGTAAATAGTTAAGTAAAATAATTGTAGAATGTATATATTTAGAACGTTACAGGGACTTACTTTAGATGTTTATATTTGTCAACATTTTTGGTATTATTTATTGGATTGACTTCTTTGTCATTTTATTTCATTTTGAGATAGTTCAAATGACCTCTTGTTGTTATTCTTTGTTCTTCATCCGTTCATTTTGTTTTCCCCTTCCTTGTGCTGGGGATTGAACCCAGAACCTTGCAGATGCTAAGCTCACAGTCTACCACTGAACTACACCTTAAGCTCTTCTTTTAATTAAGGAGGTTAAATAAGTATTATAATCAATCACTCTAATGCCTTTTTAATATATATTTTTTTCCATCCCAGGGATCTAACTCAGGACTTTGCACTTGCAAGGCAGGTGCAGCGCCACTGAGCTATATCCCTGGCCTTTGTTTTATTTTAAGATAGGGTCTTGCTGTGGAGATCAGGCTGTCCATGCACTCATTATGTAGATCATTCTGGCCTTGAACTCTTGGTGATCCTGCTGCCTCAGCCTCAAGAGTGCTGGGATTATAGGAATGTGCCTTACGCTTTTTTTAAAGAAAAGCATTTTATTTCCAAGTATGTCCCAGCCAGTGCGTATGTATGCTTTAAAATTAGAGGAGCTTCTTAGTAACTCTGTAAGTGGGTCATATATTGTGTTCATACAGATATGGAATGTCTCAAACGGGGAGCTTCTGCACCTGTGTGCGCCGATTGCAGTAGAGGAAGGAGCTGCTACCCACAGAGGCTGGGTGACTGACCTTTGCTTTTCTCCAGACAGCAAAGCGCTCGTCTCTGCTGGAGCGTATCTGAAGGTAAGCACTCTCGAGGACTGCACAGGAAAGAGTAGCTTGTGCCGTTCTTGCCAGGCTCTTCTCACCTCTTTCTCAGTCGGGTCCCTCCAGCTGCCACCATGAAAAGGCCGCTGCTGCTTTCCCTGTTTAGCAGTGGTGACACCGAGGTCTCCGGGCCCAGGTCTCTTGGGAGCTTTGGTGATGGGGTGCGGGACGCTCTCAGTCCACTGTCCTCCTGCTGCCCCATATCCAACCTCAAGGGTCTGAGGGACCAGCGTGTGGGGTGTTCAGCTATTTCCCATGGCACTAGCTGTTGAATACTGTGGTTGAAATTCTTTTACAAATGTGTTTTTGTAATGTCCTTTCTTTGGTGATAATGGCAGCAGCATATTGTTTTACAGTTTACAACATGCTTTACTTCACTGGCTAAATTTTTGAGGCCTTAAATTTTACTATCTGTGGGTTACAAGTGAGCAAACTGATTTTCATGAGGGTTGTGGCTTCCCTAAAATCACACAGTTAGTAAGCAGGAGGGCCAGGACTCGCACTGAATCCTGGGACCTCTGCCTGGGTTTTTCCAGCAAGTTGGCTTCTGCAGTCTTAACCAGTGCCTCAGAGTCCGTGGCTAGGGGCTGTGGGGCTGCAGGTTCTGTTTGTGCTGCGCCTTCATCTCCAGTGTTCCCTCTGTGTGCTGAGATGCGGCTGTGGGCTCAGGGTTTGGGCCTTGTTAATACCTGCAGGAAAGCAGATGTAAATAAGCAGTGAACACATGGGAGGGTTGGGGACGCACTGGTACAGGACCCGGAGGTGCAGAGAGGAGAGCATAGGCTGCCGGTGAGTCAGCAGAGGTTTGCTTGGAGAGGGGGGACCTTGTGGCGGGTCCTGACAGCCGTTCACTCGTGGCAGAGGTACAGACGGTACCCACGTTGCACTGACCACTTGCACACTCTACCAGCTTTTTTTTATCTAAACTGCACTCCGTAAGATTCTCCGATACTGCTGCTCTTACTGAAAACAGTGAAGTGTGGGTGATTCTGGTGAATGGCCAGCACAGTAAAGATTTTCAGAATACCTGAGTGAAGATTTTGGTTTTAGGGACCTATGTAATTATGATTTTACTCAACACAAAAATATGGTTTATAAAAAAGGTGGATTGGGAATTTTTAACTTTACGAAAAGATATGTGTTATGATTCTTTTATATTTTGTGTTGGAAATGCAATCCTGTCATTGTCACACAGCTTAGTCATCAGGCCCCTGAGCTGTGACTGCCACGTGTCCTCCCGCGATGTAAAGATAAACGGAGCTCTCTGCTGGCCCTGTGGGCGTGGCTGAGGAGAGAACCTGCTGTCTGTGTGGGTGCTGATGGTCCTCAGCAGTAGAGCTGCTGAAAATCTTCACTGCCCAGCGTTGACACCAAGCTCCTGGACACCATGTCACTTAGTTTCCTGGGCCCCTAGAATGCTGACACAGAACTGCGAGTCTGGATTCTAAGATCTTACGAAGATCAGTGACCAGATTTGCGGAGATCTGGGAGCCTTGAAGTGAAGCCATGCGATAGACCCTCATTCTGTGGAGGTTGTGTCTACAGCTGAAAGAAGACAGCCTGTGTATGAAGTCAGTGTATTTCAGTGGTGATCAGGCTGCTTTAGCCTTCTGGGTCGATTACCAGCATGGTTAAACTAATTACATTATAGCCCTGCCTGTATCGATCCAGAATGTTAATGAGACTACCCAGAAGCACAGAACAAATTAAAAGTAAGGAGGAACAGCTGCTGTAGTGGCCAAGGAATTAGGCTTTTTAGTCTGTTTACTTCAGAATCCAAGTTGTATTGCCTGTAAGATAAAGTAGGTATCAAATAGCTAAAAGGCCTTAACTTTCAAGATAACTCTTATGAAGTGTAAAATAATACAGCTTAGCTCTTCCATGAGTTTGCCCCAGAGCAGTACTATTACAGTGACAAGGAGTTCAGTTGATTCCTGCCCCCGAGGGCAAAGGCTGATTGAAAATGTGGCACCATGTGAAGGCGGCCTGACTCAGAAACTGTGGCACGCTGGACTTGGGGACAGACTGCCTGGCTTCACACTGGCTCTGCCCCTCATTAGCCTTGTGACCTTCACGGGATTTCTCCGGCTCTCTGTGCCTCCGTTTTCTCATCTGTAAAATGGAGCGAGGAGACTGGTTTACCACACAGATTTCCTGCCAGCCCACACAGCTGCCTCATTGCCCCCCGCAGTGGGAGGGACGTGCTTCAGCTGCTAGACCGGCTGGGGACACACGGTTAGCACCCAGGCTGACGCCTGTTTATCGTTGTGGAATTGTGCCCGCAGGTTCGCTGCCCTGGACATCCTCTATGTCAGCTGCCATTGTATAGCTTCTACTTTATTTATTTATTTGTACCGGGGATCAAACTTGGCTCCTTGTGCTTGCGAGGCAGGCGGCGCAATACTGAGCTAAATCCCAGCCCTCTTCTTGATTTTTTTCTTAAAGTGCATATTAAACTGGGGCTAGTGTAGAGTTTCCAGGTAGAGTGATCTGTTTTTATAGCAGGAAGGAAAGAGGCACTGGATTTGGAAGGCAGAAACCATTCTACATCTGCTGCCAGACAGCAGTGTCATCTGGACGCTGGGTTCCGTTTCCCCCATCGGAGCCTCAGTTTCCTTATTTGTACAGGAGGCGTGGGACTGGGAGCTGAGGTCCGGCAGCCGTCGTCCCTGGGCACAGGGCATCTTCTCCAGGGCGAATGGGTCCCGCCCTCCGGAGTGTGTTGTCTTCTCTAGGGCAGATGTGACAGCAAAGCCCCAGGTTGTGTGGCGGCTGTGCCGCGGGCCTCTACCCGTTACCTCGACTGAGAAGGGGACCTGAGATGACCCAGGCTCGTGAACCACTTGTGGCGAGACTGAAGGTTCCGGAGAGAGACCGTGCCGTCCTCCCGCCCCCTTAGAGTGGCCCCCGTCTGCGTCCGCGAGGGCTGGCTGCGGTGAAAACCCGCCTGTGGCCACCGCCTGATGGGCTTCTCGTTTTTCTCTGCGCAGTGGTGGAACGTCCTCACCGGGGAGGCCGTGCAGACCTTCTATACCAATGGGACCAATCTGAGGAAAATACGCGTGTCCCCCGACTTCAAAACCTACGTGACTGTTGACAATCTTGGTATTTTGTATATCTTACAGATTTTAGAGTAAAGAGGTTAAGCATGATGCAAGTTGAACTCTTAATTTTGAATTTGGAAAAAAGATTATAGTGAAATTCCAACTCTTTCTAAAAGCTGTGAATTGTTTTGTAGTATTGCATTCATTCCAAAAGCATTTGTGGTTGGATGAATGATGATAGTGTAGCTTTTCCCCAAATGAACCCACCTTTAATCATATTTTTCATAATCATTATTACTAATAATTTGACCTTAAGATGTATATGAAAATGTAACTCCATCCTTGTTGTACTTGTTATACTGTGGGTTGAATTCTCTTGGTGCATTCAAATTGCTTGATGTGAGGATAATTTGAAGGAAGCCTGTGTTTTAAGTGTGGTTGTGCAGGCTGGACTCAGGGTCACTGTGGCTGTGCTTGGAACCACAGTCGCCCCGGGGGCATTGTTCTCCCGGATACAATCTTGAGCTGATTTGCACTCGTTACATTTGCTTTAAAAGTGTTGCGTCTGTGTCACAGTCTGCAGCCTTTCCTTGAATGAACTGAATGAGTGAGGTTTGGGTTTCAGTAGTTCACAAGCGGGAAGGGTGTGGTATTAGGATTCGTGGGTTGGCCTCTTCCTCACCAGGCTGGCAGCCGCTGGTGCCATAACTGGACAGAGTTGTCAGTATTCGCGTGGGGCCCTGGCCTGCTCTGACTCTTTAACTTCTTACTTGACTGAGTTTGGCCTGTCGTAATCCTCAGTTTTCTTTTTAAAGCAGTTGCTGCATGGTTCAATGTTAGTAAATCAATAATAGAGGAAGGGCCAATTTTAATCATAAGTTTTAATAATACTTTTCTAAAAAATGTGAAATAGTCAAACAGGAGTTTCTTCTAACGCCATTGTAAGTGGATGGTGTTGTCAGAGCTGTTCTCAGTGAATTAGTGAATTTCAGGAGAACCACCTGTGATCCTTCTGTGCGGTTTCAGTGGAAGGCACCACGTTCACCTTCCAGCCTACCTGTCTTCTTCCCCGCTCCTCCTCTTCACTTTCTTCCCTCATCCACTAGTGTTTACTTCCCCCTCTTCCCACCAAGGAAAGAGCTTTTTGTGGAGACAGGGTTCTTGCTGTGTTGCCTGGATTGGCCTTGAACTCCTGCACTCAAGGGATTCTCTTACCTCCTCAGACTCTGGAGTGCATGGGGTACAGTCATAGCTGGCAAGAATCAATAACTCGCTCTTTTCTTACCTCCTGAATGGGAAGTGTAAATCCGAACATTTTCTCTGAAATGTATTATTAAGGACAATGGAGATGATAGATGTGATATAATTATAAAAAATCATATTTCAACGAGTTTTGTTTCTGCAACTGGAACTAATAAACATTAATATTAATAATGAGTATTATTAATAGTAAATAAGCCGTGTACCCATTTCCCTACTGTTGGTGCATATCAGAACATGCAATGCTGTTAGGGGAGAGCAGACCACTCAAATTTATTTTCAGATTGTAGCATTGGCAGCACTTGTGACTACAGTGAATCAAACCTTTTACATTGTTAAGGAGTCTTGTTTGTTTGGGATAGGTGGAAGAATTGGTTTATAAATGTACTGCGATTTAAACAAATACAGTAAGTGGAATCTTTATACAAAGAAGTTTTGTATGTTTTCCTTAGAATATTCAAATCGTAACTTGGTTTTCATCATATAGTATTTAGGAGTATATTGCCCAGAATATAAAAGAGTGACTTTTACAATTAAAAGCCACTTGACTATTGAGTGTAACAACAAATATTACCTTTTTAAAAGTCTTGATTACCCCATATCTTAAAAAGAACTCAAAAGAAAAATGTGCAGAAAGATGAGGTGAAATGAAGAGAGAGGAGACCTGCAACTTTTACTTGTGGCTCCCGGAAGTGATCAGAGGAGGCTTTTGTTTTGTGGCTGGCAGATGAGCATTATTAAGCATTTTCTCTGTTGTTTTTTTAATGTGAGAAATTAATTAGACTTTGTATATGTAAAATGTTTTTACATTGTGTCTTGTATGTTTTGAAAACTTTTGTATTTATAACTTGCACGATTTTTTTTGCTTTGGGATACATTTTAAAACATGAATTTTAAAGAATAAAATTCCTAGAATTTTTGGAGAAACATTTTTGGATTCTTTCAGCTCCTTGCTTTTATCTGTTGATTAGAAAACTGGTGTGGAAGATTCAAACCAAATCCATGAGCCTTTCTATCTGTGCTTTATCAGCTATGTGTAAAGTCTGTCAAAATTTTCTGTGTCTCCTCAGGGTCTGTGTGACAGTTGCTGCCTGGTATGGCTGGCATGAAGAGAATCCTGTAAAATGAAAACTCATTTATGCATTTACTCCAATTTTTCCCTTACTCATTCAGTAACTGCTTACTGAGATCTACCATGTACCTGGCATTGGTGAGGTATCGGGACACAAGACTTAGCAAAACAGAGTCCTTTCCTGTCAGGCTGAGCTAGGGCAGATGGACAGAAAGTGAGTGAGGAAACCTGTAGTGCATGGGGTGGGGGCGTGCAGGGGAGTTGCTGACGTGCTGGAGTGCAGACTGCACCCATCGGGGACCCGACCCGAGCAGGGCATGGGTGCCTCAGCCTGCAGGGAGGCCGTGTGCTGTACCGGGAGAGGTGGCAGAGAGGAATCGTGGCGGTACTGGGCACAGCTGCCTAAGCCACTGTGGGGACTTCAGTGCCCACTCTGAGATGGGCGCCCATGTCGGAGTTTGAGCAGCAGAGTGGTCTGAACGAAGCCTCAGCCTCTTCACTCGGGCAGGGGAATCATCTGAGGGTGCAGGCAGGGAGGAAGCAGGGAGACCAGTGAGGGCCTCTCACAGTGATCTGGGCAAAACGGAGTTGGGTCCGAGTAGGTGGCAGTGGCAGAGGTGGCAAAAAGTTGAATTCTGGGTACACTTGGAAGACGAGCTCCTGGGAATTGCTGGGGAAGTGGGTAAAGGCTGCGGGGGGGATGGAAGCTTCAGTTGTGGAGCCCAGTGGAAATTAGGTCGTTGGGGACGTGGCCTAGAAGAAACATGGCTCGCTCGCTCATGTTTCTTGTTTGCCATGAGGTAGTGTCCTCCAGCACGTGCAGCCACGATGATGGGCTGACCATAGCGCCAGGGCCAAGCGACGTGGCCCAAAACCTCTGAAACTTTGAGCTAAAGTAGCCTTTCCCCTTTGTAGTTTATTTATCTCAGGAATTTGTTGTGGAGACAGAGTGCTTCCTAACCCAAGATGAGAGCAGTGCCGACATCTGCAGGTGTAAATAGAGCTGCTATCAGCTGGATGAAGACCGAACGGAGCAGGTCGGGGCACGGGGAGGCGGAGATGCTGTTTCCTTGTCCATCTGCCTGTGTTCCACATGGTCATGAACATCTGCCAGAACATGGCCAGGCACTGATTTAAGCAGCATACAAAGCAGTAAGTATACACGGTTTAGTTTGGGGGTAGGGTGGGACAGGGTTAGTAAGAAACCAAGATAGCAACAGCTGTCTCGTTTGCAGAGTGCGTCTGTGCTCACAAAGTACTCACCTCACTGCTTGTACCTAGAAAGTGCTCAGGGACCATTCGATGGTATTGTTTAGGTCCCATCACCAACAGTTCCCCAAATGCCATCCCTGCCAGTATTGTGCCCTTTTCCATGATCTCTCCAAAGCACTAATCTGCATCTTCTTGGAGTCCACCATTTAATCGTGTCTCAGCTTTTCTAAAACACTGGGCCTGCTCTCGCTCTCGTGGCTTTGTGTGTGCTGTTTTCTCTCCCATATACTCCCTCCCCACCGTGTTTATTTTTCCAGCTTCTTGCCTCTCCCGTGGTCTTTGAGATGACCAGCAAGGCCTGACACTGTGCCCTGCCCTGTAGAAACACCCAGTCTTCTGCCTGAGGGCTTCTGCAGCTCTGGGCTGGAATAACTTGGTTACCTTGGGGCGCTTGGCTGATCTTTAGCTCTTTGAAAACCAGGTGTGTCTTTTACACGACAGCTTAACGTAGCCTGACCTGCAGCTGGCGCTCTGTAAACACATGTCTGATGGCTGAATTCCTGCATGCCCGTGTGCACACAGTACATTCTGAGTTCTCCCGCACCTCAGGGCTGTCACCAGGCTGTCAAATTAAGTTGTAGCTCATTGCCAGCATTTTCTTGATCTTCCTGTTTTACTTTGGCATTTTACTGTGAAACATTAGGAGAAAGTGAAACTTTACTCGGGTGAAAGAGTTTGGCTACCAAATGATAGGAAATGAATAGACATCTCTTGAGGGTCAGCAAGTGTGGCTGTTACGAGCAAATGTTTGCTATTGTAATTTACTTGCCGACCTTTAGAGAGGGAGAAAATGGTTTTGTATTAATTCTTCGTCTCTGAAGATGAACACCGGAGTAGATTCCTTGCTCACAGCTTTGCACTGTGGATGTACAGTTTTTAAGAAGCTGGGATTAGAGCACTGTCTGCTCTTGGGCGTGGAGTTAGCTGTAGAATTGTGTGTTCTCATAAAGGGGCTGCAAAATAGGATCTAAAAGGGGCACATCAGACCGAACCTTTGGAGTCATTTGTCTTCGGTGCTATGCTCCTGAGTCAGACCGTGCTGCGAGAAGACTAAAACTTGGGAAACGTTTGTTTCAGTGATGACTCTGGGAAGTGAATCGCGGGTGTTCCCTGTAAATGCATTTATGAGGTCAGGCCCTGGGAATGTCACTTACCACGTGGAAATGAATAGGAAATTGGGCCCTGTTGTTCCATCAACCAGCCCTGGAATCCATAATGAGTGAGCATCAGAGCCCAAACCTGGGGCTGTGGCTCTGGCTGCTGCTCTGACTGGAGGTGAAAACTCCTGCTCAGTGCCAGGTGGCTGCATGACGAGCCGGGCAGAGGTAACATCTGTCACCTCAGTAGTTGCTGCCTGCTCATCCCAGGCAGGGATAAAACCCTCATTTTATCTACCCAGGAGTTGAGTAGATTTGCAGACTACGAGTCCCCAGTTTTTAGAGGAGAAACTAAACCCCACACAAGGAGCCAGTGGCAAAGCCACTGGGTGGCCTGCAACCCACAACTTGTTAAAATTTGTTGAGAGGCCCAGACGGCTGGGCTGCACATGGATTGTCAGAACTGAGCGTGGAGGACTCAGGTTTCATGGTGGGTAAAGCCCAGCCTAGGTCACAAGGCTTGGGTTTCCCCAGCTGGGGAAGATTGTCTCCTGGCTTATGTGATGACTTTGGAGGTGTTCTTATTTTGGATTCACCTTTATTTAGCCACAGTTCCAAACCCTTCACTGCTGTGTGGACCGGAAGGGTCTCCCTCCTCCTCCCTTGATCCCTCTGTTTCCTGCCCACCATGGCATAAGCACTTTCTCCTCTGCGAGGCTTCTCTGCTATGCCAACCTGCCTTGGAGCCAGCCAACCTCGGATTGACATCTCTACAAAGTGTGAGCCGAAATAAACCTTTCCTCCTTAGCACTGTCAGGTATTGTGTGAGTCAGGAAGCTCCTGCAAGTTCCCAAACAAGTGATGCAGGCACCAGGCGTCAGGTGAGCCGATTTCCTAAACTCTGAATTTCTCCGCAACGCCTCAGAGCCCAGTGATGTCACGTGGACCCACATTTCTTAGAAAACCCTGATCTTCCTTTCTGCCTGGCAGTGCTGAGCTAGAACCGAGTAGCAGCTGGATCACCTCCACTCTCCCACAGGTGAGCTGTGTGGCTCTGAAGGCATCTTGAGTTTGTGACCTCCCCACACCTCACAACCCCTCACCCCAGAAATGGCCAGTGGAATGGGATTCCTGAAGTCCCTGCTATATTGCTTCCTTCCTAGTCTTCTCTGACTTGACACTTGACACACAGGCATTTTTTTTTTCTTTCCAAAGACCTGAGCAGGCATTTTTGGGAACTGGAGATGAATAAGCCTCTCAGATGTCAGAAAACAGTGGAGGGTGCCTCTTCCTAGGGGCGGCCAGCCTTCCCTCCCCATGTGCCTGGTGCATCCCTGAGCGACAGCACAGGTTGCATCCTCGGAGTGGCCGTGGGGACACCCAGAGGCAGTTACACCGCGTGTGGAGTGCGAGTCACTTTGAACAGCTTTGATCGCAGGTTTCAAGCTGAGTGGTTGTAAGAGCCAGCATTGTGTCAGCCTGGTCTCTCTAAGTGTGGCATAGACGTTTCCTGATCATGGAACTTTGGATTTGTATGCAGCTCCTACGTGCCACAGATGCCTGACATCTGGCCCCTGTGGTCCTCTGCTGCCAGAACCAAGTAAGGCCCTGGATGAAACCTCAGCTGCTGCCTTCAGCTGTGTGACCTCCTCAGAGTTTGGGGACCCCTGGAGGTAAGTGACCCCATGGGAGCTGAGAAGTGGAGGATCTGTTTCAGCCTGTGCATCCATCACCAGTCATTATCTTAGTTATATGCCTGCCGATGCACCTTTGTGTGTGTGTGTGAGTATTGAGCCCAGGACCTTCACATTGAGATACATCTCCATCCCTTTTTAATAAAATTCTCCTTGAGACAGGGTCTTGCTAGGTCACTAAGTTGCCTACAATGGGCTTGAATGTGAGATCCTCCTGCCTCAGCCTCCCAGGGCACTGAGATTATAGGCATTCACCATCATACCTGTCTGCCCGTGCAGCTTTTTACAAACATAGGTCATTAGGATTTTGGAGAGAAAACCAGAAACTGCTTTGATGATGAATACTTTGGAGCTGTGATTCAGTCTGAGTACAGAATGTTGGGTCTGGAATGATCTCCTCTTTGTAGAAACAACTCAGAGGGAAGTGGCTCCATGCTGAGCCCTGAGCAACTTCTCAGTCAGCAGACTGACACGGGCTGACAGCAGGAAATGGTTAACCGTTATTGGCGCTTCCTAAATTGGCAACAAGGCCTTAGAATTAACCAACCCCAGGAAGAAGCTCGGCTCCTGGGTGCTGGTGGAATCTTGGGCCTCGGGCCTAACCGAGCTCTGGCCTCTGATGCTCTGCCTGCTGGGAGGCTGAGGGATGGGGCCTGGGTCCATTTGCCTGGAGGCAAAGACGGGCAGGGAGTGTGAGAAGTGGGGAGCCAGGCACGGGGTACAGTGTGGGGACGTGCTGGCCTGTGCTGTATTTACAGAGTTTAAAAAAATGTGTTTATAAGTATCAGATTGTTTGGAAGTAGGAAACATTTTATATATAATAAAATGAGGAAAAGAGAGAGAAACTTAAGCCAGGTTCCGTCTCACAGGGCTATAACCTGCAGCTACTCCGGAGGCTGAGGCAGGAGGATCAAAAGTTTAACTCCAGCCTGGGCAATTTATTGAAACACTGTCTTAAAATTAAAAAGTAAAAAGGGCTAATGAGGTAGTAGTTCAGCGATGAGTACCCCTACCCTAGGGGAGGAAAAAAATATTAAAATGGAATGTTTGAGTTTTTTAAAGGGTTTATTCCATATAGATTTCGGAGCATGGTCATTATATTCCAGTTCTCTGGGTAGACTTCTTACCAGATTTTCATTTCTTTTCTTCTTCTTTTTTTTTGTAAAAGTAGAAGCAATGTTACTTGGAGTGCAAGTATGAATTTTACTGATTTTTGAGACTGGCCACGTGTTTTGTCTCTTGCTCCATCTTATCCAAACGTTAGATATGCTAAGTAATAGTCCCCAGTATATTCCAGCTTGAGATCTGGTCTTGAGAAAAATCTCTTGTATGACTTATTAATGAACTGACTAGGCATCATTTTCATGGGCATCATTCACCCAAATTTATCACTGAACACCACTTTAAATGAAAAAAATTAAAAGGGAGTAATTGAATTGATTTTATTTTTTTGGTACCGGGGATTGAACGTTCGACCCAGGGCTTGTGAGTCAGGCAGCAAAATCACTGAGCTAAATCCCCAGCACCCCATCCCCCCCACCTTGTAAATTCTAGTCCTTTTTCAAGTAATAGCATTCAGAGAGCTCAGTCTCCCGCTGCTGGTGGCTGCAGTCGCCAACGTGTCAGCTGGGAGCATTCTAGTCCTGGCTGGCGATTCCTCTTGTGCTGCCCTGCAGGACCCTCCCTGGGCTCAGGTCTTGAAGGGTGTGGGGGTGAGGAGCCGATCAGGATCTCTTAGTCCCTCGCTTCCTCTCTGAGGCAGCTGCTGTTAGCTGCCCAGGGATGGATCCACCCCGCGGAGGGAGACCCTTACACGACCCCAGTGGGCAGGTTAGAGTACGCACAGCAGAGAGAATGCGTAACATCGCAGCAGTCTTGGACACAAAGCAGGAAACTAGCCTGATGGAAGCGCTGCACCCCCAAACCCCAGCTGAGGGCTCCTCCAGGAGAGCTGCCCCCCCGCAGCACCCACCTCTGGCTGGTTGCTCTTTGTGCACCCTGAGATTACTTCAGTGGGTCCCGCAGCACCCACCTCTGGCTGGCTTAGCTCTTTGCACCCTGAGATTGCTTCAGTGTGGGTTTCACAGGGTAAGAGATCAGCAGGGAGCTCTGAAAGTCACGGGATAGGGGATGAAAATCTGACCACGAAGTCCAGCGTGGCCCTGACACGGCTTCTGTCTTTTCGGGGCAGCTGGCACTGGGTTCTAGGGAAGATGAAAGCGCTATGAAGGCGTGGGTGGTTTTCCACACCCATCATCTGGGACCCAGCTTGCGGGGAAGTGGGGAGGTTTTCTCTGGAAAGTTTCTGCTTTGGCAATTCCTTTCAACCGACTTTATATTTAAACAAAGAGATTGGAGGCTTTTGGCTGAAATTCAAGCTTCAGGGGGCAGGGTTTATTTCTCAGACTAGTTGAACTTGGAAATGAGCAAATTTTCTCAACATTTGGCCAACACAAAGACCCTTGAGCTGCCCAGGTGAGGGGGCTGGGCCCGGGCTCTGTCCTGGGGAGGAGGGAGGAACTCAGACGATGCAGGCTGCGGTGGCTGTACAACTTCTGTTTATTCTGTGTGCTTTTTTATATGATATAAATAATGACAAAAATTACAAAATTTATAACTGGAAGCCCAAGCTTATTTACACAGATGCTTCTGTTTCAGCAAAGCTACTGTTTACTTTGCCCCTATACAATTTCCTTTTGGTACCATACTTTAGTGTTATTTTACTCTCAGTTGACTACATACATATCAACAGGGAATAGGCAAAATATATACAGAGAACTGTTCAGTTCAAGTAATTTAATATTGTATTAAAATTCTTCAACACTGAACTAAAACCATATACATTTGTCAGTTTGAAATAAAATGCAGTTATTCTTTAAAACTCACCAACTGATGAATGTAATTGATAATCTCAAGTTAGGTTTAAAATAATAATGGTTAATAAAAAAACATTAAGACAATTCCACAATTTATCAATATCGCTAATAATGAACTTCAAAATGATCCACAATATGATTGGTTAGAACAATATACATTAAAATGTTATTTTTTTCTATAATTGTAGTAGTACTGTTTATATAATTTGATTCTACATAAATATACATTATGGTATCATACAAATACTCCACAGAGACATTAAAAAAATTAAAATATGTTAAAGAAATGTAAGTAAATTTTATTTAATCAAATAGCAAACTATCTGTTTCAAGAAAAGTTTTATTACTTTGGAATTTCTTTTTTTTTTTTGTATTTGTTTTTTTTAGAAAAAAATTTTTGCAATAGAGTTTAACACCTTTTTCAAGCAAGGTTTCCATGACAGAAATCTTGACAGCAGGAGCCCTAGATTATTTTTTCTGACATGTTCTTTAAAACACTGGATTAAAAAAAAAAACAAAAAACCCACAAAATCTCTGCAGGCTGCGGATCTCCTGCCAGTGGACAAACTCAGGATCTTGCCACAACTTTGACCAGTCCTCCCGGAAAGTGCAGTAGAAATTTAGTTATTTTGAAATGAGACCAGAAACATCCCGCACAACTAACCTAGTTTTCTTATCAATGCATTAACGAAACATTCTTTCAATAAAAAATATTTAATACAAGACAATTTTTCTCTGCATAAATTCTTGTTTTAAATCACTTAAAATTTTGAATCCATTGTTAAGATTTAAAGATTTTTTTTCATCTGACATAGTTGATTATATATAAAATCCACAAATATAGAAATTGGGAAACAGGGTTTCCTGGCAATCGCGGGGTGGCGGTTGTCCTGCGTTTAGGGTACCAAGTGACAATGGTTTTACAGCTGCTTTTTGGGATGGGAGTTGGTTCAGTTTCGATTGTACCTTGACCGCTGCTGACAGTGAAAACGAAACCCAAGATTTTGATACTTTTAGGCAGCATTAGAGATCCCCTTGACTTTTCTTGTTTGTTTGTACAAAAGGGTCGTCACCCCGGACTACAGCGAGGCCAGCAGGCTGAGCCCCTGGAGACTCCGGAGGGACGCGGGGACCCTCCCCTGGCGCCTGGGGCTGCGGCTGCAAAGTCTCGGTGGCAAGGAGCCTCCCGGGAGTGGCCGGCGGCCTTGGGCCGGGCCAGGACACCCG